AAAAAAAAGAGATATTAAAAATAGGTATAGGTTTTATAAAGGTTCAGAATTGTTAAACAATATAGTATAATTAATAGAATTTGTGAAAGTTTTAAATTTTTGTATAGTAATATTTTTATATATACAAATATAAAATCAAAAAAAATTTGCAAACAAAATATACTACATTCTTGATAAAAAAATAATTATTAACAAAAAATAATTATTAACAAGAAGAGAAAGAGAAAATATTTTTAAATTGAGTATATTTTAATTTGATGAGATTATATGATTGTTTTATTAGAAATAATTATAAAAATATAATTATTTTATTTTTTATTTTATTTTATTTTTTTTATTATAAATAAAAGAACAATTATTAGATAAAAAATTTAAACTAGTAACATTATAGCTTGATATAATTATATTATAGTTTATTCATATCAATTATCAATTAAAAAAATAAATAGAAAAAAGGTAAACTTTTATAAAAAATAAATGCTATATATTTATTCATTTTTATTATAACAATTGTTATTTTATTAGTATTTGGATATATAATTTTAAAATTTGAACTTATTTTAAAATTATCACTCATATTTGCTTTTTTCTATTTTGGCTATCTTGCCAGTATTTTTTATTAAATTTTTATTTACTACGTAAAGTGAAAGATGCTATATAGCATATCTAATAATTTGAATATATTAGCTAATTTTGACAATAATAATAATTTTATAATTTTTTTTATTTTTTAAAACTAAATAATTTTTAATAAACTAACTTGTTATAAATAAAGAGAAAATGTTTTCCATGTATCTGCATAGTCATGCACTCTATATAATTAGCCAATAAAATTAGTGATCGTATATTTTGATAATCATTGTTTTTTTCGCTAATTGCTTTTTGCTACCACTTTTGCTTTTGTTGCCTTCACTATTTTCAGTTTGTTGTTTTTGCTTTTGCTGTTTTTGCTTTTGTTTCACTTTTGCTGCTTTTGCTTTTGTTGCTTTTGCCTTGTTGCTTTTGACTTGTTGCTTTTTTTTTT